GATCGGATCGTTCGTCTCGAGATGAGGGAATCCTGAAACTAATGCTATATTTCTTTCGAAATCTTGCCGTAATAACGCCAGCTCCACATCTAGCTACGGAAGGCGACGAGGAGGAAGCCTCAAAATCTGCCACAATAAACGCCTTCCAACAACAGGACGTGTTTTCACTTTTGTTGACAATGTGTTCGAATATGGGAAATGATTTCAATTTCCAAGATGTGATTATTTTGGAAATTATATTCCATATTATTAAGGGTGTTGATGTAAAGAAGCTATTCATGGACAAGGCCCAAAGGAGTGTTGCGGGTACGGATGACCTTGAAGTTGTCCTGGACAAGGAGTCTCATTTAAAACGGGAATATTCCAAAACAGCCCCAACAAGACACGGTCGATTTGGAACTATGATTTGGGTTAAACGAGACGATGAAAAAATCTCAACGCTTTCCGGCCAGGATATGCTCAAGGATGATTGGACAACGATGATGAAAATGGATAAGACAAAAAGATGGAACAAACCCAAGCACAAAAAAGGGGTCGTTGATTTGTCAGTCAATAACTTTAATATTTCAACCCCTTTAACATCGTCGGCGACTGAGCATTTACGAACCTTTGTTGAAGAGTTTTTGGATTCTGGTTTCAACCCACTTTTTTCAAACCTCCGCAAAGCCATTGAGCGCGAGGCTGACCGTGTTACTGAGTCCACCCCGCGTCAATTCTTCTATACAATTGCCTGGTTTCTCGAGGCTGAGAGAGTTCGACGTTCCCGCAAGCAAGAAGTTCGACAGCAAAATAAAAATTTCACGCGGGATATCGAACCAGATAGTTTCCAGCTTGTTGCTGGAGTACTAAACCAAGAAACGTTTATCGCTTTAAGCAGGCATATGCAAAACTGCTTGGATTACAAGGATTGGCAGGACCTGAATGCCAGTATGCTATGTTTCACACAAATTCTTCTGACAGTCCAAGATATGTTTAATTCTAGCATCAGTGAGGACCAAGATATTGCAGAGAATATTTTAAACAGAATATTCTACGAAGAAACGACACATGACAGGATATTGGCAATATTAAAAGGCTACGAAGGCCAGGGTTTCTGGTATTTGGATGCATGCACTGAAATAGCCCACGTTTTCCTTCGATTATTGGAACAGTACTCAAAGCAGAATGAGCATATGCAGATTCGATCCCGCAGACGAGCCAGACGGAAACAGCGTAAGGAAGCTGCCTCGAATCTAGAAAACCCCGAAGCGGACAATACCTCAGAGTCTGAGGAAGAAGACACGGCCGTGGCGGACGCATCTAAAACGGTAGTTGAAAGAGCCTTTGACTTTCAACGTTTTGATGCCAAATTCTGTACCGAGAAATCGGTGAACACATTCCTCGCGTTAACCTCGTATTACAGGGAGCTCAACGACAGCCAACTGAAACGGGCACATCGATTTTTCTACCGCGTGGCATTCAAGCATGAGCTAAGTGTTTTGCTCTTCCGCGTGGATATCATTTCTCTGTTTTACAGAATGATCAAGGGGCCCGGAGGTCTTGATACGACCAAGCCGAGTTTTGCTGAGTGGGAAGAATTCGTTCGACGAATCATCAGGAAGCTCGTGAAGAAAATAGGAGAACGGCCGGAACTTATTACTGAAATGCTATTTAGCAAAATTAACGCCACAGTCTATTATTTGGAGTACGGACACGAGAAACAGACATTGTCTGAATCACAGGCGGCGGCTGAATTGGAGGTGAAACCTAATGCTGCCTCGACTCTATTTGCCAGAATAGAGATTGTTGTGGCAGCACTTTGTCTGGAAGGAAAGCAGAATCTAATACAATGGCTGGTTAAAACTCTTGAATGTGCAGTGAACGAAAGGAGGAACTGGGAGGTTGAAGCTGAAGCTAGGCAGGCTGAATCTGGCGAGGGACAAACCTCCAATCCCCCTTCCATAAGTATGTACAGTGAAATCCTCTTGGAAATTCAAGTTCAGTCTAACCATTTTGCCAGCCGTTATACCCCTTGATGATGCGTGTCGTAATGCCATGTTCAAAAACGGCCGCCTTCGGCTTCTTATGACATTGGCTGGGCTTGAAAGACTTGGTGTTGAAGACACAATCGACACCTCGTGGATTGTCCCATCCTCGTTATCCGCTGAAACTCTAGAAGAAACCCAAAAATCAATCGAGAAGGATCTTGAAAACCCACCTACCGAGTTCAACGGCTTAAACCCGAGCGATTTGTTACGTCGCAAACGAGACATTAATCCCAGGGCATCATCTCATGAACGAGCATCCGGTGATGTCGATTTCGGCAACGACTCAGAAGGGGAGGACGATATAGATGGCATTCTATTCCCACCAAATCTTCGCAACCGGACCGACACACTAGATGAACTCAAAAAGAAACGACTTAAACGAGGGAAGCAGAGGAGGGGGCAAGAGGGCGATGATCCTGATGATGCGGTATTGGAGGCGCGTCGCCTAGCGCGTGAGGCTAATGCATTGGAGCGTCAAAGGAAAATAAAAAGTAGTTTATATATCCATGCTAGCGACGAGGAATCGGATGAAGAAGCCGACAAAGAATTCTTCGCCCGGGAGGAGGAAAGGCGGAAAGCCCAGGCTAAGCGTGTCAGAGAGGCTTTATCAACTGTCAAGGCTGCTAAAAGTGATGGTGATGATTCAATCAGACCGAAATCTTCCAGTAAAGGACAGAAACGGAAGAGCGCGGCAAATGACGGCCAATGGGGAAAGCGACGACGAAGCAATCCGCTGTCTGACGACAGTGATGGAGACAATGTCAGTGACAATGAAGACGATAGCTTGATGGCTGTGCAAGAAGCATCGTCGCCATCCGAGTCTCTGTGCGCATCAGCATCAGCATTAATACCTCGATCGGGTCGAACGAGCGATAATACCACTCCCCAAACCTCAACAGGCCGTGATCCGAGAGACGGAATGAACGACGACTACTTTGAGATTAACCCATTTTCCTTCAGCAGTATAGAGAATAATGGCAAAGCGGCTGAAGGTAATTCTGATGACAAGGATGAAGAGGATGAGGCGATCCAGAAGCCCAGTCGAGAACCGCGTAGATATTGCGGGTTTATTATTGATAGCGATTCCGAGTCAGAGGTTGGCGGTTAGGATCTCCATATCTCTCCATATCTCTCATTTTCCCTTCGCTGTATGCCGTGTGTGATACCCGGTTTCATTCTATTATGGCTGCAACCTAATTTTCGACAACGGATTTTGGTCTTCCCCTGGCAAGCAGGGCTATTCGTGGTAGTGGCAAGGCGCGTTCCATTGTATGTACGTATTTTGTTCTTCTGGGGAAGAGGATTTGTTTCAGCGTCAAACTAGCAGTTTTTAAAGGAGGGTTGCTACGGTCATTTGGAATTAATTCTTCCAGAGTCATACAGATATTTTGTGTTTCCCCAGTCCCAGAATATTTCAACGCATAATTTATCTCAAGTCTCAACTGGCTGGTCTTGAGTGTTTCGTTGGTGTTTTCGTATATTCATAATCCATCCATCTCCAAGGATTTGCAGACATATGGGGAATTTCACCCCACATTTCACATTGGATGGCTCGAGTTCGAGTTCGTCCGATGCGTACTCATGATTCTGTCCAGAAGAATCTATCACTCAATAACATCGAAGTGGCGCTTTACAGAGTTCACATTTTGATGTTACTCAAAAGAACCTGAAAACGAAAGACAAATTAAGACGTGGAAACAAGAAGAAAACATATAGTTATATGATTACGGCATCCCCCTGTACGGGAATCCTTTAGCTGTCGTCTTCCTCTCCTTCACCACCCCAATCACCCAAGCCCTAAAGCCAAGTGATCTCTCTCAAATTTAACTACGGTGAGGACCATCGCCATCCATTCGGCAAAGGGGTCCCAAAAATCCCGCACCATGGACATCGCATGGGGAGCTCCCGTTTGCGGGCTACCAGACAGTCGGCTCAGCGTTCATGGCTACTTTCCTACATTCCAAGTTTGGTAATTGTAATGATATGCTGCCATCCGCAGTGACTAGCACGCCCTTGGAGACATCCCAATCTCCATATGCCCAGAGGATCCCCGCATAGTTTTTCCGCATTAATTCCGCATAACGTTCACATACATAAGAGCAGACTCCCATTAACAGAATTGCTCAAAATTCATCCAACAGAGAAACCATCTCTGGATGCCAGTGCGCATAGCGGTGGTTTTCCTATCGTCTCTATTGTCAAAGGCATGACGGTACATATCCGGTTTTCCCAGTTTGGAAGCATTGGCAGCTGCAACAACGGTTAGCAGTGGAGCATGCAGGAGGTTATTTTGACCCTGGCTGGGATGACGAGACGACTATTCAGGTGTAATTCCATGTAAGAGGCGTGTGAGATGAGGCGAGAAAGAAGAATGAAGCCTGTAGCCGGATGTTTGTGAACGATATTGAGGATCCGGCAACGGGTAGTGAACGTGTCCGAGGCTGGTATTGTGGTGCCCGTGCAGTAAGGGGAGTAATGTTGAAGATTACTTATATCGGGCTTTGGAAAATGTATGATTGTGAAATGCAGCTATTACTGTTTAACTCCTCGTTGCATAGTACAAACCTGTGAATATCTTTTATGTATTTTTATCTTTTGTTTATTTTTGTTTTATCTGTTATTTACGCTACTTATGCAGTGGAAGTAAATGAGGCGAAACACACTTCCTAAAGGGGTAATATGCAACTCACTTCTTCACCTTCACAGCTTTATTTACTTGCTTCAATTCACTTCATCTCTTTTATATTCATCTGCTTTGTCTTTTTTATAAGTGATCATCCTTGGTCAGTGACTACATTTGCAGCAGCATTAATTTCTCCTCAAGTCTGTATTGACAGTCCGGCTATTACAGAGTCCTCTATTGTTTTCCCAACCATCGGGACTTTATAATCAAACCTGCATCCACAATTCCCCAACAACATAATTATATATATCTTTGAGCACATGCATCCCATATATCAAGGCCAAAAAAACATGTCACTGGCACCGTATCCTACCCCGTCTCCTCACTTATACCCGTCACCTCGTTATGTCAACATCGACGCGGCTTCCCAGTATAGCCGGCGCAAAACATCGTTGACAAAGTCCCTTCAAACCTTTGCAAAGAATGCATTTCATCGCAGACATCGTCATACAAACACTGGGGATTCAAGCCACAGCACCACGCCAGCAACGTCGTTCACAAGCAGTTGGTGTTCCACGAGCCCTGGAGTATCACAGTCGAGGTCCGAAGAGGTTATGGAGCGCGTAACGCCCGCGCTGCGAAAGCTATCATTAACATTGGGGCGAACTTCACAGGACCAAATTCAAACGCCAAAAGAAATAGCGGGATCAATTCAGGCGGGACAAAAGCCCCGTTTGGGCAGAAGAGATGGGAGCATGGTCCTCCAGAAACCACCAGCACCTGTAAATTCATGCATTTCTTATGAAGAGAACGGATCTGAGCGAGGTCAGGCAAACGGAGGGCAACAAAGAAGCGTGCAGAATGCCACTGCAAAGGATGGAAGGGCACCTTCTCAGGTGTCACGAATTCCGTTGCCTAGTCCCCAACCCGACGGATACTCCAGAAGACATACGAATGCAGGGCTTGTGTTACCGAAGTCGACCACATTCTCTTCGCTGAGTACTTTAAAGCAGGGATCTCTATCTCGCAGCCAATCACTATTATCAAAAAGTAATAAGGTTTCATGCAGACAGCCCGAGCTGCTGCACCAACAACAAATGGGGGCAACGGCACAGAAATTAGAGACAGCACATACAGCAATCGCCAACAAACCGTCGCCTGAGTCATTCGGGCCACGGCAATATCTTACCCCCCAACAACATTCACATGTGATTCTAAAAGGTAGTTCGTTGACAAAAAGTCAGACAACCATAAACTTGACGTCATATGCTAGACCTGATGGCTTTTTTGAGCCAGCTGAAAGTTTCATTAATCACTATCAGAGGATACCCCATAGCAAGCACAATATAGTTAACGATTGCGGCCACAATGGATCGCCGCGGGGTCTAAGAAATTACTATAACCCACCAAATGCTGGCGTCAAGGATGTCCATTGCTCAAATGCACAGAAGCCAGGGAGCCTGAAAGAGCAGAGCCCAATGGAACTCCCCTCTCCGTGTTCACCACCCGAGAGTGACGGCGATATCAGGAAAGTAAGTTCGTTAGAAACTTTCCTTCCCCAGGATGATATATATACCTTCTATCACTCCATATACCATGCTAACACCGGAACTCCTGTTGTGCGGTAGGTCACCACTGCCAAACCCCGCCAGTACTGGTTAGGGCGCTTCTCTACGCTCACCAATGGTTTCCACTACGAAGATTCCTTTAAACAAGAATCAGACGTTGTCACAGGCTTTGATGCCTCCGAACCATACTACATCAGCTCATCATCCACGGCAACTTTGGACGATCAACGAGCCAAACGAGCGTTCGTATTTCTCGAAAACGCCTGCACGACTGCAGAGGCACGACGAAGCTTTCTGGAGTTTAGATATGAGTATTCGAGACGCTGTGGCGATCGGTGGTCGAAGTGGTTTGCTGCTGATCAGAATGATACATGTAAAAAGAGATACGGCGGCAGCACGTCGGACTTAAGTGATGGGACATTAATTTCTGTGGGCGAGATTACCGATATGGAACGGAAGAGCAATAATAATGGCGCTCCGGGAGGCAGGGGGGCAGAGATTGGGGGGATTGGTCTGATGAATATGTTTAGGACGGTTCGGAGGAGTTTGGTTTGAGATCGGTGGATTGTTTTCTTCTTTCTTATGGTCTTTCTGGTGATGAAATATCCTATTCGTCCCTATTTGTGCTTCTTTAGTATTTTTGGCTTTGTTTTCATGTTTCCAGCATGTTTGGAATTCAGCAATTGGAAACTTGGTGATGTTAGGAAAGTATTGAGTGCAAGAGCTTTGGCTTTTCTTCTGTGGCTTTAGTGTTGGGATCAAGATGGATGGTTGCTGAGATTTCAGGAAACAGAAGTTAAACAGGAGAATCAAGCTAGAACAGATTAACTGTTCGATTTTCTTAGAGAACTTTTGGTTTGAGAATGGAAATGATATGGGGGAAAAATTCCACTCTTCATTCTAGCAGGGAGAACAGTATCGAAAATGAAGCACAGGCGTCATTGCCTCGCATATTGCAACAAGAGGTGATTTCACCTTGCAAGGTTTTGGATTAAAAAAAAAAAAAAAGGATATCATCAAAATACAAACACGGGAAGAAAATTAACATCGAGGAACCATACCATAGAATGACACAGCTCACAAAAGTCTAGTAATGGATTACCTTGGCTTAGCTCTTCCCAGCCCTGCTCCTCAAATACGCCGCAACTTGCTCATGCCTCGTGACAAAAAACATTCGCCGCTTCTCAGACTTCCACACCAACACCCCAATCTCCTCTGCATACCTACACGGCCCATCGAACTCTGCCAGACTGACAAAGTCTTTAAAAAGGAAACCTGGCGTCGCCTTTATTCGATCCCGCTCCAATTGCCACAGGCGGATCTGGTCTACAACTGTGGGCGGGAGCACGGCGGGAGCGCCAACGGTATGGGAGGATTTCGATGCGTGGTATTTGCGCATTTGCGGATGGGCGTGGGTAGTTAGGTAAGAGATTATCTGGTCTGCAGTGATTCCCATTTCGACGGCGCGTCGTATGGATTGGCGTGTTATTTTTCCTGTGATGAGGTTGGGGAAGCGGTATTTTAGAGTGGTGAATAAGGCGATTAGAGAAATTTGTAGGGGGGAAGATGTGTAGGCATATAGGCGGTAGTTGGTTTCGATGACTATGAAGCCAGTGCTGGGTTCGCTGGAGTTCGCGGCAGTGGGGCCGCTTGGACCTGTGAGACTGGTGGAGATGGAGCTTCCGAGTGTAGCGGAGTCAGAAGTAAGAGTTGTTACGAGCCTGGTGGGGTAGAAACGGGTTGCTTCTTGTGGGGGGAAGTGTTGATATACTATTCCGAAATCGGTGAGGTCGGTGAGAGTCTTGAGTTGAGTGGATGTTAAGTGTTTCTTCTCATACGACTGCCCGAGCTCTAGGCTGCTGAGGACGAAGAGGAATGAGAGGACCTCGACACTTTCTAAGCCTATCTGTTCGGCGTTTTCGACGTAGAGGATTAAGATGTTCCAAACTTGGGTGTTGACGTCTTGTAGGACGAAGGCGAAGCCTTCTTTTGTAATATCGACTCTACGGTCATGGACTTCCACCAGATGGCAGGCTTGAAGGAGCTGTTTCACACCCTTGCTTAATGTGACTGTTTGCTGGGCTCCTAAGGCGCTCGTCCCAACCATGTACCCTAAAACGCCTTCCCACTGGCGACTGGCATATTCGTCCAGCTGAGCAACAGTCATAAGATTTGCATCCGGAGTTACAGATGGTACTCCGAAAGATTGCTGCTTATCTCCTCCTGTGAGGGCTTGTCGAAGCGACGACGCGAACGGCTCCGTTACCACGTATGCTCTAACATGATCCGTGGTAGTGGCATTTGAGAGAATATGGAGTCGACCCAATATCGACAGTGCATTATCTCTCTCACTTCGTAACCCCGTAAAATTAGCACCGCGAGTCTTGCACATGGATAGCTATATCAAAAACCGCTCACCGTTTGCTCTCCGGCTTCACCCATAGTTCAAGATCCGCAGCAGGAAGTGGATCCTTCAGGTAGAGAAGTGCCATGACGAAATATTTCGCTATGTGGCATTAGCTAACTCAAATCTGACTCTAGTCTTACAGGACAAAATCATATTCCTCATTTACCCAGGTACGGCAACATTCGCCGGAAGATAGCTAGAGCCGTGGATGGCTGCTGGTACAGTCTGCGGAAGACGGTTCCTGGCAAACTCTCCAGATAGTCCATCGAGCGGGAAGACGACACAGCCATTTCTATGAAAAATGGCACCTAATGGGCCTGTCTCCGTACTTAGTTGTCACAGATCTATCATAGTCAGAGCGCTTCCAGGGGGGGGTTTCGGTTGAACTTCAAAAAGCGCAAGTTGGCTAACAGTAAAAAGGGTTGTTGAATAATTCGGTGCGTTACGGCGAACTCTAGAGACCAGAAGTGCACGCAGGAATGGTTACGTAATTAATCAGCCTTGTAGCTCCCATCGTTAAGGTAATAGTAAACTATTTAGTTCGGCGTTGGATCTAGAAATGAAATATATTAGAGCTCCAATTGCTTTTCAAGATAAAGATATAAGGAGATCGTTTCAAAATGGCTTCTTTAAAATTTGTTCAATCAGTATGTATCTACACCGCGAAAAGCTTTCAATATGGTTTTCATAGCTAATTCGCGATCTAGGTCTGGCAGTCCTTCAGGACTACATCCGGTTTAGAACCGAGGTATTCATATTCAGTAATTGAAACACGTCGGTGGTAATGGATATGGGGTCTGACTACCAATTCTTGCATGCAGGTTGTTGGATAATGTACGTGATTGATCCTCAATCCATGCATACACCGTGACTGGGTCCCATAGCTATGTCCTCCGCGTCAATATATATGCATTCCATAGCGGTTCTGAATCGGGAAACTTATCAAACCCTCCAATGCATTAATAGCTTCGAGTGACAGCAGCACGTCCTGGTGTTGTTAATTTCGAACTAGATATCCAGAAGGAACATACGGTTCGTTCTTCTAATCTACCAAATTCCCAGGGGGCGTGGAAAGCGTACAACTAACCTATGCGGTCTTGCAAAGAATCGCCTGGGAATCCTCCATGGAGGAACAATTGCGAGCATGGGTATGTTACAATATGTTGCAGCAAAGGCTCTTATTCCTTGCTGTGTGAACTCTCACTTACCCTTTCACAGTTGATCTGGGGGGGTCGCTAGCCGTTGCCTCCAGGGGACTTTTCGCTACTGGAGTCTCAACAGATCTTAATGGTTTGCTTCCTCTGGATTCCTAAGTCTGAGGCGAGCTTCTAACTCACTATTATTAGTTACATATCTCAATTCTGGTGGGAAAATCGGAGATAAAATTCTTGCGGTGAGTGGGAGAGAAGTTGTGGTTAAACTCCTTTTCAATTTGCTAATTGATGCGCCTAGGAAGTTTCTTGCGATAAATGTATGCACAAATTTCACCTATTCATCCGCAAAGTTGTTGTGAATCCATCTCATCTAATTACATCACCTCGAAAAATCTCAGTTGGCAAAACCCTCGCATTCACATCCGCCAAGTTCACAAATTTAGAGAACGAAGTTGTGGCACGGGGTAGTCACACGAAGTAAGTAAACACCTTTTCCAACAACTTCCCTCGTTCCTCCAGATTCGATCTCCTCTTTTCCGCATCGTTGAAATTTCCGATCTTAACGTCAAACAGATTCGTGGCTATCGCATTCAAAGACCCGAAAAACATCGTTCATCAGCTTAAGCCAGAAGAGGAGTCTGAGGGTGGGAACAAATACTGAGAGTCGCACCAAATTGGACAAATATTGGGTCCGCTAATTTGGTGCAAGTCGGCAAAATAGATGACAGGTGAACTGGAAGTTGATTGGCGCATTGAACATATTTAATGCTTTGCACTATTTTGTCAGAATGGATGCGCTGCGTGGATTTTCATAGAGCGCAGCTAATCGTGTATATTCGGAATATATTATAACCTACGACAGCGGTTGTTCACATGTTATAATTGTGCATGGATAAGACAATGGATGGTTTATTATCACTTGAATGTGAAACAAACCTATAGGGATGACCACAAGAAATAATATTTTATCTAGCCAATGGGTATTAGTGAGATAAATATATTACATAGCATGCTGTATCATTGGAGAGTAGAGCTGTACAACAGTGTACATACATCAACGTCAAAAGGAACCCGGCAGGAAAGGTAAGGTGTCACAAGAACGATGAAAAACATAAGAATGAGACTAAGTACCTTCCTTCAATTGCAAATCATAACAGAAGATACTTCATGTAGCCATATCATTTCATATTTTGTGGACAAAATAAGACAGCACTTTTAAATCATCATTAATACGGGAAAGAAAGGCCTTGAAAAAACGAGAAGCTACAATGAACGCAACACGCTCAGAATCAATCCAGAATACTCTCTGGCTGCAAATCACGCTCCTCATCCTCATCCTCCTCTTCATCAAGAGTAACCATAATCTCATCAGCGTCCATGAGAGCAGTTGTCGCCCTCCCCTCCTCAATTAAAACCTTGATCTTCGCCTGAGTCATTTCATAAACGTACTGGCCCAAATGCTCGATGCCCTCCATAGGGGTGCCTGTAACGTCATCCGAAAGGGGTCTGGAAGTTGGAAAGAGCTCGCCGGGGACAAGCATGAGCTTATCGGGCCGCTCAAAGAGAATGTCGAAAGCCGGTTTGAGCTCGAGGCACGATTCAAACACCTCGCGGCGGCCGAGGATGTAGAGTCCTAGTCGCGCTCGGGAGAGCGCAACGGTGAGACGGCGGACATCGCGGAGGTATCCAACTGTCCGTGTGCGGGTAAGGGAGAGAAGAACGTCTGTGTTTATTTATCATATGTTAGTCTAAATACTCTAAAAATATTCATTCCGTCCATTGGGGATGTGGAGATGAACTTACAGTCATTCTGCTCTCCTTGATATTTATCCACCGTCGTCACAATTTTCGGCAAGCCGAATAGGGAGTTCTTGGCACATCTATGGTTCAGAACATCCCTTATCAATGCCCTTTGTCCCGCATATGTTGTTAGGATCGATATCTTCGACGCAGGGTAGCCTAGTAGACGCATATACTGGTACAGAGCCACCGTGTACTCTGCCTCGCCAAGATTTTGAATGAAATGGGGAGATGGCTCCCTTTCGCCAACTCCTTGATAGTCTGAAACATTGATAAACTGGTAATCAAATTTGAAACCGGGATTGGCGAGTTTAAACTCCTCATTCTCCTCCACGGATGGTAGATTTCCTAACCGCTCGTAACGCCATTTGAATAGCTCTGCAATTGACGGACGTGATCGACCCTGTTGATCAAGATTTATCGTGGGTACGCCCAGTCTTACAAGGCGTGAGAAAAGAGTTTGCTCGAAGTTGGCATATTGACGGAAAGCCATGTTTTGGATAATAGGTGAGTTTTGGAGATGATCGCCGCAAAGCACCACACGCTGCAATGGCAGTTCACCGTTCTTGGTATTTTGAAGCGCACAAAGTATAAAACTTTCGATCTCAGTGACCTGGGCAGCCTCCTCCATTATGACGTTGTCATAATGAAATCCGAGGCTGACTATCTCCTGTCTTCTCATCGCGGCATGGGTCGATGTCATGGCGATGATTCGTGCTTCTTTCACCAGAAGGTAATTGGCTTTATCACGTTGCAGTCGCAGTATTTCAAACGGACGAATGTCTTCGAGCTCAGAAAACAATTTATTCAGGTGCCTTTGACATCCATAAATGACATCAAGCACCTCTTCTTTGGATGCATTCGGATCGAAAAGGGGTTTGGGGGTGTTTGAGAAGAAGGAATGGAAAGGGAAAGCATCGACAATGGTTTCGCGGGGACAGTCTTCGGAACGAACTTTGTTCCAGTATTTAGTCCACGCTGGCTTAATATACACAGTATTGAAATAGCCTGCAGTTTCACACGAGTTGCCATGAGCACCCTCCGCACCGATCGAAACAGCAAGACGATCCACTTCAGCAAGGTACATGGCCCGATTCTCAAGAAAGGTATCCACTCTGCCGTATTTGCTATAACTGGCCTCAGTATCTAACTCCTCTTCTCCGCGACCAAGCCGTAAGAGATGCCGTTGATCGATATCCAAGGCCATAATCTTTTGGAAAAGTTGATTTAGCGCCTGGTTACTATGGGCGATAAGCAATGTGCGCTCGTAGGGAAAGTTGTGGTAAATGTTGCTAATAATCTGAGTTGAAACGTCTGTCTTGCCTGTTCCTGGAGGGCCGACGATAACCGTCAAGCCAGGCTGAGTACCAGACACAACAGCTTCGATTTGGGCCGGCGTAAATCGTATTTTGTTCAGTTTCGGCGCATCAACCGGGTAGGGCCCCGGGTTAGGTGGCCGATATGAGGAAACTCGTATCGAATTCGAGGTTTTCTCAGTCACTTCGACCTGATCTCGACGTCGCTTCTTTGATGGGTTCAATGTTGTCGCTTTCGGGGTATCTTCAAACATTTCCAAAACATAGGGTGGGTCAAAGCTAGAAGATTTGTTACCAGCTGGCTCAATCCTCCGTCCAGGGAAGCTTTCCACAAGGTGCTCCCAGTTCAAGAAAGTATCACGAAAATCGACAGATTTCACCTTATTGCTCAGTTCTGTGTATCTGGCGCCCGCTGGATTTCCGTAGCCTAGGAAGACATCCTGTAGCCATGATGGAAGATTTGTATCTGCAATCGTCAGGCTCCGCATAGTTTCAAGAATTGGCTTGAAATTATTTTCTCTAGCCTTCCGCCTAACAATCACATTGATGAAGGTGTACACGTCCGGTTTCCCTTTTGCCAGGCTCTCCATGTCGGCCTTGTATGATCCGGCATCGAGGTTTACAAGTAGCCTTCGCATCCGCGGTCGTGGTCGATATCCGTTTATTCCATCAGTCTGAGGCTCCCGCAAATATCGTCCGTTCTCATCGAGGACCTGTACAACTTCTGCCGTTCTTACATGTAATAAACTTACTTCGTTCTTTGGATCCTGCCCATTACTAAACATCTTCTTTATCGATTTCTTGGGCTGGATTGCGAGGAGGAAAACAACATCATCGGGCCGAAGAGTATCCCATTCCCTCCTAACACTTTCCCCGAGTCGACTGACGTCCAATCCAATTTCAGCACGAACGTATGCAGGGTTGGTTGATCCGACTTTTGCTGGTGCAACCTCGATGATCGCTGGCTTAGCGATCGGAATTGCCATCTTAGAGAACCCGCCAAACGAGACTGTAGCAGTGTCTCTCTGGAGGTGTGGTTGTAGCCGTTTGACTACCGCTTCGAGGTCCTTTCGGATCTCAAAGAAGGACTCCGAACGATAAAGCAGAAAAGATCGCCAGAGAAAATCGCCAACGCTCAGGTACTGTAAGTTCAGCTTTGGGATGGCTAATGGTCGAGAGCCGTCGTAGGACTCATTGCGGATTAAAGCGGGATCATAAAGGTTCGATTCGGTGGGTAAGACAGACAGCTGCGACGCAGACTCTTGGAATGAGCGATGGCGCTCGAAAGCTGAGAGAATGATTTCGAGGATTAATTTGCGATCCAGTGTAATATTAGCTTCCTTAGGATAGGTTGTTCTAAAACCAAGATAAGAACAAAGCGCTCCCAATTCCTCATCGGTTAGGGAAGACAAATGTGACTCGAGTTCAGAACGTTGTTCGATGGAACCATAGTTCGACAACGCCAGGATCGGCAACTTGTCTTTGAAGTGTTTGATGACGGTTCTCTGGAGGTGAGCCAGCTCTCCACAGTGGACATCGTAGACTGTTTGAGGAGACTGGTGGTGACCCGACTGATCGTCTACAGCAAAATTGATAAAGTGCCTCAGAAGGGTATAAAAATCGCGGAAGAGTGCGTTTGATTCCTGATTGTAGAGCTTGGACGTACGAATGACAGCGAGAATGTTGAGATCCTTTAGGACAGAATTGAAATACCGTCTTGTGGGAAGCTGGCTATCCAGGTCAATGAGGAATTCCATGAATCTTTCGCAATATCGCACGTTGTCCAGATCACTGCTATCGATCAAGTTGATTCGATTTAGGAAATCAAGCACCATCGAATATAACCAGGAACGCTCGAACCGAAGCCTTGCCTTTCCGGCATCATCGGCTTTCTCGTACCTTTTCGCAGCCATTCGCCATCCCCTTTTCAATGCTTCCATTTGCTCGAGTAACTTGTTCCTTGAAACGTCATTATGAAGGTTGTGCCAAATGCCAATTGTCACCAGGGGGGCGCATTCCTTGACAATAAGCGCATTCTCCAACGATTGGAAGGCGTTGATTACGAACGACAGTAAATATATCTTGGAGTTTGTTGGTAAGGTTGTATCGAGATTCATAGCAAGTATACGGCGGAATAGGTTTGAGAAATCCGTCGGCCTGTCGGTGAAATGCTCTGCGGCGAAGTTAGCATTTAGCCTCTAACATACTCCTCTCTATACATGGACTCGGAGCGGACTTACTCCATATTGGCAAGTGTTCCCTCTGCTTTACTCCAGCGATCAAAGCGATTAGCAGGACGTGGTAATTGGATGAGTCTTCGGAGTATGTTGGCCATAGAAACCTGGGTTCGTCTTTCAGCATGGTCTCCCTCGCAGGAGCGCAATATAATAACAGCAGCAAAGCAAAGCATAACCTACTTTTCCAGCACATGGAGATTTTCTAATATCAGAAGAGATCGAAGCGCAAATTTCTCCGACACCAGACCCTCCCAGATATCGTTCTTCATGACTTCAGGTTTTGCCTTCGGAGCTTTGGGCAACTTCAGCCAGTGGGATTTGGCGAGATTCACCCACCGGTTGTCCTCCTGGAGATCATTCACTGTCGGGCGAAGATCAAAACTATACGCCATTGCTGGTCGCATCTGCAGTCCCATTGCCAGCAACCTTGATGGAATGTGCTGAGATTGTCAAGTTTGTCTCCAAATTCCAAAGTTCAAGATCCCAACATCCCAAGGTCCAAGTCCGGGTTGAAGGTCGACGATATTTATCCAACCCAAACAAGAAGAAGTTTTGGAAGACGTGCAGAAAGCGTCCGTGCACGATTTGTCATGCCCTGCAAAGCAAAAGCCATCATCAAACAGTTTCAACCCACGGAGACAGCGACATTTCTTTATCTATTTATTTGTATAAGTGCATGCCAAGGAAACACACGGCAGTTTAATCGCGCTCCTCGCAATCTCTGAAGGATGGCTGGAGAAGATATTGCTGCTGTGAAGGCTTACCGCCAATTGTTCCAGGACCTCTTGGACAAGGCCGCAAAGGTCAAGCAAGACTCCAGCATCGAACCCCCGTTGAACGAGGCGGACCTGGGCGATGCGATACGACACATACAGTCGAAAGGGCAGAGTCCGCAAGCTCAGTATGCCGTGGTGGAAACTGCTTTTCGCGAAAAATTTTACGCTCTGCTTGTCAGTTGTCTCCCTCCCGCGGCGCCGCCAGCTCGAAGCCAGCTATCTCTAACCACCTAAATTTTGATATACAGGCCACGACATCGATTGATGACCCTTCATTTATTCAGATATGGAACCTTCTAGATATCGTATCGATATTTTCAGACAACGGTGAGCTCCTGCGCAAATAATAACTTCGAGTTTCAAAGCTCTGACGACTTGACAGAACAGTGCGAACCCGGTCTTCTCTTCTGGCTCATTGAGGAGTTGCTGGATAGTCAAACTATCGATGGCTGCCGCAAAGTTTTTGATTACTTGGAATCGCGGAGGGAACGCAATACTACAGTATGTTTTTGGATTTTAGACCCTGGAGAAGTTCGTTGCGACACAAACATTAAAGGTCTGTGGCTACAGAAACACTTCAAACAAAAGAGTTTGATCATTCTACGATCCTGCAATGAGCTCCTTCGACGACTTTCACGAGCTGAGGACACAGTATTTTGTGGTAGAGTTTTTATATTTCTCTTTCAGAGCTTCCCCTTAGGCGACAGAAGCTCCGTTAACTTGAGAGGTGAATTCCATACCGAAAATGTGACCACCTTTGACAAGCTCCCCAAGGCTCAAGAGGGCAGCGCGATCTCGGTGGAGGTGGATTTCCTTGAGGGGAAATCTTCCGCAGACATGAAGATCGAATCGCCTCAGGCCGCAGCACAACAAACCAACGGAGAGGTGACTCCTAGTACAGCTGATGAACACCAGCAAGGTGCGAAGCCGGCCATACAAAAGACAACGGAACCAGAAGCCGCATCGGTCCTGACTACGGATGAGCTCTACCCGATCTTTTGGAGCTTGCAAACAAACTTCTCTTCGCCGACTACACTGTTTGATCCCACCAATTTTGCAGCTTTCAAAACGGGACTTGAAGCGTCATTGTCTACTTTCCAAAAAGTAAACACAGATATGCAGGTCCGGATGACAAAAGGATCGGAAGAAACGCGTCGTGGCCCCAAGCGAAGGCGGATAGGAGACGGCACAGAAATGACGAACAGTTTCAATCCCAAGTACCTGACCAGTCGGGATCTGTTCGAATTAGAGGTCTGCACTTAATCCAGCATATGATCATAAGTAGTTACTTACTTGAAAGCAGGTGAACGATGTCGCTTTCCGGAGGCACATTCTTGTCCAAGCTCTAATCCTTTTGGATTTCGTCCTTTCCCTCACCCCGAAAGCTAAAGCGAAGCTTGCAGACTCAACAAATAAGGCAGTTCTGTACAACTATGTTCTCAGCGACGACGATGTGAGTTTGCCCATCACAATTTCAGCCTCCCAGACGAGAATTTAATTGTTTTGTAGGCAAAATGGGCGTCACAAATGAAAGCCTCCATCGCCAGCTATTTGCAACAAGGCTCAGAAGGCAAGTTTTACTATCGAATGGTAGACACTGTTCTCACCAGAGACAAGAATTGGGTTCGATGGAAAGCGGAGGGATGCCCTCCAATCGAGCGTACCCCGGTTTCCATACAGGACTATTTGGATACGCAGGCCAGTGCCGTAAAAGTGACAACAAGCAAACGACTCAGATCAACCCCTTTAGGATCACTAGATCTCAATTTCTTAATGGAAGATAAAAATCTCGATAGCGTTGCCCGTCTAAAACATCCTGATAGGTAAGTCTCGGCATATATCGCGTAATATACCAGTTCTACCAACTAATCATGTCCTACAAAAAGGTTCACTACACCCGAAATAGATTCGTATCTGCGTGGCGTTGCCGACGATGAGTTCAATATCGACATGGCCCAATCGCGCGAAGAGAAGGATGAAGCAATCAAGGCTAAAGCAAACAAGATCTGGAGAACGCTCCGTCTTTCTTCTCGGAGTAAACTGGCATTGTTCGACAAGATCGAGGACGGAAATAATATCAAGGTTCTTTTCGAGACCCCCCCGGCTCCAGAAGATGCTGCCATAGCAGCAACAAGCAGGCCACAGCTTGCCGTGCAGAATGGAGTTAATGGCAATGGGCAGGATGGACCTTCTGCTACAGGGGAAGTGAATGAATCAAAGGAAAACCAGCGACCATTGGCCTCTGCTGGATCAGTGCCGCAGCAAGATTGAAATGGTATTATAGTTGATACGAGGACACCGAATTTTCACTCCTCAGTTTACTGTGAGAATAGATATTAAACGTCCTTTGGTAGGCACGATGGAAGGAGATACTCTCCCAGTAAAAGCAGATACAGTCACGAAAGGAATATGGGACCCCTTCGCGTTTGCCTGACGAGATATATAATTTTAGCATCGGTTGTGCTAGCGGGGATATCGGGGAAACTTCTTTGACTACTTCCTATCCAAGCTAGACCGGTATTGCGCCGCCTATAGGACGGATAATTCGACTTGCCAGACGCAACCAGTCATAGCTACCTGCCATCCGCAACAAGCTAGCGCTGCTACCGCCTGCCGTATATAAGGGATGCGAAATCCAATGTCTACAGGGAATCGAGTGGGATATCAGTTGCGGGAGCCAAATTTAGAAAGGGAGCTGGTGTTGCTGACGCAAATGTACAGTAATGCTCTGTCAACGCTCATCAATTGTCATGGTTCCCACACCTGTCATTTGCGAATAGGGTGGTCGGTAACGGGTGCTTGCTGTTTGGGTTGTGATATGATATGATGTGTTATAATTTAAACTGCGAGATAGATGAGAAGATATAAGAAGAGGATATCATTCATTCTGTCTGAGAGGAATGCATGGTTCTTGTATAATATGGCAAATGTAGAGTAGATAGTGGTCTTCATAGAAAGGATCATGGAAGCCATGTTCATAAACTTTCAACTTTGCCCTGCAGGTTCTTTTATGTTACATGTTCTGCAATTCTAACAACCTAAACCAAGGGCTATGGCACTGCAACCAAAAGAAACTGATTTGCAGTCTTAAAATATTCAATTCAAGCTTTTCGTGAGTTTTTCAAAAAACTTTCTTGATCTTGCTTCTAGATAAACAAAGCTCAAAAATATAAAAGTGTCTTTCCTCATTCCATCAGGCTTTGTAACGCATATTCAATTTCCCTCTCCTCCGCCCCCCTTTTTCAAATCTAACCTCGTTTTGTCCAACGTGTTAGGTGTCCATGAACCTGAACGTAGATAAGGCTCTGGAAAAAGGCTGACCCTGGTAACATCCTGGTAAAAAACGCGTCTCTTCCGCTGAAGAAACTAACATTAGTTATCACTTTTTCACGCTGAGGACTAGTTAACTACATGACCCGCATTATCCCCTCATATTATCAGATTTGTCTTTTGGAAGAGATTTTCTTGAAGGTAAAGAGATGAGAAGATAAATTTGTGGTATGTTCATGATTGACTGACTATAAAAATATTCTCCTCGGAACCAATTTAAATATCCAACCTTCTTAGCACACATCCAGAACTTCAACAACCTCACTCCCTCACTCTGCTCATTTAACATCATCACCTCCTTCTTTTCCACCCTTTCAGGATATCTATTCGTGTCTCGAAGAAATGAAGGCGGGGTAAGCATGTTTTCTTAACCTGATTTTGGTCCGCGGGTATTTTTGCAGGCCCTAGGGTATCCCTGCCGCTCGTTTCTCTTCATTAGACCCGGACCCTGGCTGCTTATTCTCAGTTCCAACGGTCACCTCGCTCAAGGCTCGCTACAGGCCTATTGGCCTATCAAACTGACAGTAATAATGAAAATCATGAAGTCCTACGTCAAATCTCAAATCACGTTTGGGTGTTGTGCTGTTGGTTCCATGTTTCCGTCTATATTTGCCAGATAAAGCACGTCGAATACAGTCGGCTCCGATGTTGCTGACGGACGTGCGCCTCACCTGTTCTGTTCACGGCAAGTTATAGTCTTGATGATCTTCATGTTGGTATCAAATAGCCCGTCTTCGGTCCGCTGATATCTCAACTAGCGCTACCATCTGCTTGTCAACGAGTGGACAAAACCTTGCATGCAAAGTAGCCAGATGGTTCTGCGCAACGTCGATCAAGGTTCTTCTGTTTCTCTTCTTTTCGTCTTTATTTTTCATTATCTTGTGGGCATTGCTGCTCCAAGCTTAGCGCTGAAACAGCATCTACCTATCACAAGGGTAACCTTATCTACGTTGAGGACGACCTGGAGACTGGAATCGATCGCCAGCGACTGAGATCGCGGTACACACAGCTCAGCAGCAGTATCGTGCATATTATAATATCTTCACGTTTTTAACACCTTTAATTGCGATCTCTGTTGGTGGACAAATATACTTGTTGAAAAGATTTGTTCCCCTGATGATCATGTTCGCTCATGCGTACTTGTATCTGCTCTTGGTGACATGTTCCCATGACAGCTTCTCCCTTTCGTCCCCCAGCTGTTCTAGCTTGTGCCTCGATTTCTCGTACCTGACACCCCTGTAACTCCTAACTGGGGTTGTGGTTTAGGGTTGTTACCTTTACTATTAGTAGAATCGTTCATTTCACGCAGCAATCGCCAGGGTCGCGTAACACAGGTTACGCCACTCCGAGACCGATCGATTTTCTTGCTGGATGTGTCAGAGCCGGCTGCACAAGGATAGCTGGCCCGTCCCGGCATTCTCTCTATAGTTCCTCACTTTAAACCCCATTTTTCATTAGCTCCCGTTATTCTTCCATTGACCTAGTCTGCAAAGATGTCTACCCCAGAATCTCCTGATTTTTCCGTCGCTGGACAATCAACCAAGTCCTGTATCAACTTGTTTCACCCGTGGCCCAGCCTTCTCTTTGGCCCTCTCATGGATCATAATTTGACTGTCACCATAAGTAGGGTCTGTCTCAGCTCCTGGGATCCCCCTTGAAGCTCTCCCCCTCAGGCAGAGGATCCATGTTTGCACCTGGACTATTTGTCTGTGCTGTCAGCAATTTTATCTCAGGAAATAGCCTAGGTCACGGCCTTCCCGCTTAGTCTTTCGGCGTGTCCTGTCTGAGGACCTTCTATTTATCAAGCTCTGTGGCTTTCAGCCTCCCACGCCGTCGTACCGTTATTAGAATCCTATCTGGACCTGCCTTTCATCGTTCGATGGAGTGAATCCCAACCACTGTGGACAAAGGATAGAGTCTGAAAATACGTGATTTGTTGTTGGGGAATATGATGAACCTGACGTTTGATTTGTGTTTTGTCTGTTTCCCAAAATGTCAACTTTTGACACCCAGAACTGTCAGCACATAAATCAACTAAAATTGCAGAAGAAGATGTTCGCAGTGAGAGTGGGACCCGCTCAACCCTTCCGCGATTCATGACACTCTGTACCTGGTTGCATTTAAGACAGGATTTCAGAGAGACGTACGAGATGCTAACTGATGATAAGAGTTTGTTTCAAGCAAAACTATGTGACTTATCTGGAGGCACTCTGCTATGGTGCCAGCAAAACTGCTGACGAACGGTGGATACTTCCATGCAGAGACCTCGTAAAAGGAGCAGTTAGTGACCCCTTCTAGTTGGTGGACCTTTTGCTTGAGCGAATTAACCTCGCATCCGTCCTAATGCCAATTGTTTTGTATGCGGGCATTAGACAAAGGTTCTCAGCACTACCATCGAACCGATTTCCCCAGTCCCAGTGGACCCTATCAACCATCGTTGCTAGAACTATGGGCAGTTTTCCTCTGATTTTCCTGTTTCGTTTCTCTGCGGTTTATTTATCCAACCACCTCCCCCTTTGCTTTACACAATATACCCTTGACATATGAGAAGGGATGCAAGGAGTTCTTCCTCTTCTGCTTTGCGCCAGTCATTCTCTGATCACGGGCCTGAAAATTCATCACCAACTACTTTGATCTTGTGCATAGTGACTTTGGTAGGAAACCAGCCTAACAATATTCTTTCTCCCATTTTAATGCTCCTACATGAAATCCAATATATCGAACGCGTTCAACGATTCCTCTGTTTTTGCACAGTGGAAATTCAGCTACTCTGCTGAGAGAGAAGTTCTGCTGTCTAGGTTCCAGTGCAGTCTCACCCTGCACGAGTTCTTCCTCATGACAAACTGCTGGAACTAATTATGTCCTGACGTTACAAAGTTTATTATCCCTGAATATAACCCCACTCTTGCCTTTGTTATTTTTGCTGGGTCTTTTGATTCAATGTTCTCCTCACAAAAAGGACTCAACAACCAGCGATTTACACGGAAGAGGTGTCTTTTTGTTTCTCGACTTTTGGAAGTATTCGGCTGTTAAACAAGTGATCATGTTCCCCTTCGTTCCTTAGTTTTACCCCTGTCAGGGAGTGTCATTCGTCATATGAAAACACGAATACCTCGAGGTAATGAAGATATTGACTACATCAGTTCTCCTACAATTCATTTACTCCGCGCCTCGCTCTACCTCTTCCATGCCGATAATATCTCGAAACATCCATCTGCCAGGACAACAAGCTCTGGATTGTGACAAAGAAGGTTCCTGTTTCTTAGATTTTCTTCTCGATTTTGCGTTTCTCCCACGTTGGAGCCCCACTTCCTCTTGCTCCCGCAAAGTAACAGAGACTTTTAGAGCACGGAATTAGCACAAACCGTTATTAGCTAAGTATTCGATACAACTTACCTACATTTTTGGGGCGCTGTTCAGACGCTGAAATTGAGACGATCGGGGGTATCTGGGGCATAGTTCTAGGGAGATAAACATACCTAGACTGTCAGACTTGCTGTCGTGATACTCATTGTATAAGCCAAGTGTCAGTCCCTTGTGGAGAGATTATTAGACAATCCGGCTGACACAAGAAAATCCGAAAGCCCTGAACGGAGGTAGCTTCAATCTCAATACCACTGTTTGAACCTCACCGATTGTTAGCAAGGGACGACTTTGATGGTTGGCCTCCGTTTCCCCTCCCTTAGCATCAATTCTCTGTGAGTGAGCGAATGACTGCCTAATCATTCAAACCCACAAGGAGAATATATCGTGTTACAATTGCTAGTTGCGATTTGATCACATATGTCTTCCGTTTCAATTTATACGCCCGCTACTGGCTGGTATAACCAGCAGTTAGAGTCTCGGGAGTCCGTTACCCGGCGCTTTGAACAGTTTTCGACTGTTATTAAAGGCTGCGATTGTCTTGGGGCAGACATTGTCGGCCATGGGCACATCGGCTTGAAGTTAAATGTCCCTTTGAATAGTTCGCCAATCTTCGAAATCAAAGAGGATCCTGCCATTGATTCTAAGGGTGACAACGAAATTGAGACGCACAATGAAATAAGGGATGCGGAGCCGGAAGTTTGTCTGACTGAAACTGAGGATATGGATGCAAATTCAGAATTAGTTTCTGCAATGCCGTCAGTTTCCAAACGATCAAGTTCTGGAATCCCTTTGGCATCGAATTCTGGAAGTGCCAAGTTTGAAGCTTATGGTGATATTGATGAAGTCGGGGCCGATTGGGACAACGAAATAGATGTAGGACTAGGCCACAATCAGCTTGGACCCCATGAGAATCATGAGGAGCAGCAACTGCAAGCTGAAGGAGATAATCATTTGAAAACAACAGCTGAACTGCTGGCGGAGAAGAGGAAGATGAAGCGTTTTCGGTAAACTCTTTCATGGCAATTGTAAAAATATCGCGTTATGCTAACTATAGTTACCAGACTGACTCATAATCAGACGCGGTTTCTGATGAATGAATTTACTCGCCAAGCTCATCCGGATGCCGCACATAGGGAACGCTTGTCGAAAGTGATACCTGGTCTGAGTCCGCGTCAGGTGCAAGTCTGGTTTCAGAATCGGTAAGCTCACCGACACCGACCTGTTTGACCTCCTCACTGGTTCAAGTATTTGCTTACACCATTGGTAGGAGGGCGAAGTTAAAACGTCTGACAAGCGACGATCGAGAGAGGATATTGAAATCACGGACGTTGCCTGATGACTTTAACATAGTTCAAGCCCTTAATTTTTCCTTTGTGAACAAGGACCAGCCTTCAAGTCCTACAACTTCTCCTACCACACAATCTTTCAAATTCCGCCAAGGTACAGACACATATTCTCCCTTGATAATCGATGCTGCCAGAAGAACACGTGAGGAAGAGTATGTGGCGGCCCCTTTAAACACTACTTCCGTATATGGAGGCTATTTCTCGTCATCAACGTTCTCACCAGCTCTTCTCGGGCCAGAGCCCGAACTATTTCCAAGCACAATGGAAACCAATATAAGCCCAATTTGCACATCCGCCTCCAACCCACGTACAACAACTTCTCGATGTATGAATATGTTTATACGATCCAACAACTTCTCTAATTCTTACTTTCGTATTTCTCATACTCACGTCCCTTATTTGCCTCTCCATGAGATGGAAGCAAGGGAAAATGCAGGGCTCTTGGCGTCTCCCCTGAGAGCAACCATATCGTATGCTGAAGCCACTTTGGACTACGGGACTCCGGATACTTCTTACACAGAATTGGATATCCATTACGGTGACCAGTCGTACGATAGCTTTATGTCGCAGAGATTGGAGGAGAGCAGTTCGAGCAAATCACGTATGTACCAATCGCCTAACGAAAAACAGAATGGGTTACTAATAATCTGGAAAGTAACCGGCAGTCAGCTTGGAAAACGTGAGTTCTCCAAAGCGTTATCTGCTCGGCTCTGAACAGCTCTAATTTGGTTTCCTGCCAAAATGCAGTTGAAAACCGAAATCGGTGAGGGCAACGGTCCGTAATCCGCTTCTCTGCCCGCGGCGCCTTTACAAGAGTATCAAATAGCACCTCCCAGTCCCACATTTTGCTCAACCCCATTTGGCATTTTATGTGAGCGGCACAGTTCGCCAACAGTGAACATACCAACCTCATTTTTATCTTTCAATTCGAACGGAAAGGTGTAGGACCATCGTTTTGGTTCTGAGAGTTTTTAAGAGTAAGATTCATATGCGGACTCTACTTGATGATCCGCACAGCAGGAGGAGCTCCGATACTGCTCAAGCTGAGCTGTAAGTGAATAAGAATATTTTGGGATGTTCAATGACTTGGATAAACAATTGCCCCTCACCTACTTTTGTTATTCTTGTTGAATTTTGATATGACATGTATTTCTCATGCCTTATTTATCATGGGGGTATTTGCTTTTACGTTCCGGGCCTTTTTTTGGGCTTCGTTCCAGGTTAAACGCATGGGCTGGGAAGGATTTACATCACGGACACATGGATGAGACATTGGTGTCGCCTTTTCTTGTTATGTTTCCCCTCACATAACCTTCTGGGAGGTGTTTTCAATTTTTTTTTTTGTTCGTTTATTGTTTACTAAATAACCTTTCTGTTGAGTTATAGACATTAAGTTAGGCTAACTATGATGGGGATAAGGTAGATAAGCTCTGTGATGTTTTGCATCAACATTCTCAATATCAAGATAGATGACAGTTCCACCGTGTATAAAAAAGACGCAGTTAAGATCGAGCGAACTAATCAGCGGGTTTTTCATTATGATTTCCAATGTGAAATCCAACGTTAAGATGTCGCTCTCTTGCTTTTCGTATGGCATTGATCCGAATGTGTTCGATGGACTCCACTTAGCAACCCATCATGAACAGCCATATAAATACCTAGGTAACTGAGTCTCTATCCAGCTTTCAAGGAGTGAAACGATCAAATTGAAGAATCCAGTGAAGGTTTGAGTTGCATATTTATCACGTGGTTGAGCTTTGAGAAGCCCAGAATGAGATGCCTAAACAACAATATGAGCACAAGACGGGACTTCAAACAGCTGCGAGCATCCAGACAGACACTCTTCACTATGTATGTTCATGAACAATCCTTCAGTCAATTGACTTGAGGGTCTCAAATGCGATGGCATCTTAGGGCAATTTGCCTATTATATTGATCGCTGCCGAGTTTCTTAAATCTCTTCTCGGGTCTCAACAGCGTCCTCAGGCTTTTAAATATCATCAAGGCCCTTGAATATGCTCCCGTGATCTAGGATAGTTTTGTGCCCCGCACGTCGGTCATATTTCTGCCTTGGGGGACTCCGATCGCTAAACCCTTGCACAAGAGACGGGAGGACGCCCTGGATGTCGAACTGCCCCAAAGGTGCGGAGTCGGTAGTCACAATAGTGAGCCTGACAGTACTAATCAGCGCCTAAAATTCAACTAGTTTCGGTGTTGTTTCCCGGATTTTCTTCCAAGCTCTCATGCTTTGTTCCACATCAGTTTATGCAGTGTATCAATCACCAAATTGGAGAGGAGCTATTCGCTGAACATCCAGGGTTTGGGAGGACAATACAGTAACTATATGGCGGCTACATGCGCCAGGGACGTACCCACATCCCCGCACCGAGGTTCCGTATCAACCTATTCGGGCTTGAGAGTCGCGAGACGTATGGAGATGCATCCATGGATTCGATTTCATATTATTTGCTTCTTTTCCCCGATCTCAACAGCAGCCAAGGGCCCCAGCACCGGCATTGGATTTTCCTCTGTCCGATTCTCTGCTCGGATATCATACGGATTTTCTCTAATCTCTTCCCACCTGAACTCTCACTTTCTTCGTGCAAGAAGAGCGCAACAACAAAAAAAAAAAAAATGAAAAAAAATGAAAAAGAAAAATGAAAAAGAAAAAAAAAATGAAAAAAAATGAAAAAGAAAAGAAAAAGAAAAAGAAAAGAAAAGTTGTTATTGGTCTGGTTTCTCCCTTATGTTTATCATTTCTTCATAAAATGTTGTTAGACCCCTAGTTTTAATCTTCTATTCGCATCATAATTCAAAAATTTACCAGTCTTCTCTGTACAGTTCCCTGGTTTATTCCTAGAGACTTCTCTTCCGAACCCTTGCTTCAATGATGAACTCTGAGAAGTTCAATATGCTTATGAAGGAGATTCATGAAGCGGAGCTGCGAGATACTAAATATAAGGTACTTACATTGCTGAAACATACAATGCTTTTGAACTTCCTGCTTCATACCTGTGTTATTCACTGTTTACTTTCCCAAAATTCAACCTGGCTAAAGCGCACAATGTATTACCAATTTAAGGAGAAAGGAGATCAGAATCACACTCACAAAACTACTAACCCAACCCCCCCCCCTCCTCCTCCATCCCAAACTTGACAATCCAGGGTTTTAGCCATGACCTCTTCCGCTCAAGCGTCCGCTACGACTCCGCAACACTCGGCCTGCCCGTCAAGGTCTCTTTCCTCCTAAAAGTCACAGATCCCTTCTGCAACAAAACCAAGCAACTGCACGGCGGCTGCGCCTCTACCTTGATCGACGTAACTTCAACGGGACTGCTAATCGGCCTCTCCAGGCCTGGCTTTTTCTCCCACGGAGGTGTCACACGCACGTTGCATGTCAAGTTCTTGCGGCCAGTGCCGGTGGGCATGGAGGTTCGGGTTGTCAATGAGCTGGTACATGCGGGGAAGAGGTTGGCGTTGGTCCGGACGGAGATTAGGAGGGCGGATACGGGGGAGCTTTGTGTTGTTGGGGAACATGATAAGGTTAACACGGATCCTGGGGTGGAGAGTTTGTGATGTGAGGTTTTTGGGGTGGGGGAACAATGGGGCATATTTATGGAGAGATAGAAATAATTAAGTGGGTTGAGGTTCTGGTAGATGATTCTATCAAACTTCACTGGTGCCTGATACACGGGGCAAGGGGGTCCGTCCCCTTTGTCTGTGCAAATGATAAATTCATTCACACTGGCCAACTTTAAATCAAGGAATCTAGCTTTCGAGCTGTAAATTCTCCGAAGGCCAGCATCTTGCTGGCCAATGATAGGGGAAGGCACCGAATGATAATGAACCATTGGCTGAAAAAAATAATGTCATTATTTCGACCATAATAGTTAGGACTCGGTAATGGTACACACAAAGCAGACATAGCATATCGCGATCCCGCTAATCAGTAAGAAGCTCCTCTAGCCTGGTTTACAACTCTCCGTTCGTAAAGCGAGTTAGTAAAAAAGAGAGAGAAAAGAAATCAAAAGGAAGACGAGACATAAAACGCATAAGGCTATTCATTCTTAGACATGATCTCCTTCGTGCGATTAAAGAGTCACACAGATGCTAGTAAAGGCCTGCACTAATATGAATGTAGACAAGGAATTCAATTATCTCGTTGTCTACATGTCATACTTTGACTGTGGTATCATGCCAACCTTGTACCTTACAAGAAATTTGCTGGCTGTGGTGAAGGCTTGAGAAGAACAGGTAGAGGTGCAGATCCATTAGGTACGAGTCTTACGTTAAGAGATTCGTTGAGTGACCGCCATCAAGCATTTGGGGGGAAAGCAACGTTTTGAACGAACCCCCGTCGTTCGAGATGGTTGTCCAAATCTGCGTATCGGAGAACGAATTCGCGCTGTATTTCGGGATCATAAAGCATCGAGTTAGCTATATTGTCTCGTTTATTGGAACCAAGTGTTTGAAAAAGATTAGATCAACACATGGTGAGCAAAATAGCACTGCAGCATAAAGAAATGGAAAAACTCACCCTGACTTTCTTCCAGGTAGAAGGATCCCACCATAGGTAGAAGCCACGCTCACTAAGCCCTCGTTCCAGTTCAACCGGACTTGGAAACGCGTCATCTCTAGTCAACCATGCACGCTCGACCTTGTGATATCTCCATTTGCGACTCATGAGCTCTTCCGCTACAAGTTCCTGCATGATATCTCGCGGCATGCTGTAGAATATGTAGAAAAGAGTTTCGTCACTGAAACTAGGGATACGCGACTGCAGTGGTTGGACATTTGCAACGTTGTAGCAAGATGGCAAAGTGTAATCAACCTGGAGTGGCGCTGACGCCCTTATCGCAACGAATGGGGAGGCAAAGTTCGGGTGCAGAGGCCTGATATGAACAGAATTGTTAAGACATCAGTAATATTACGATTCTCTTCAGGCAAAACACTAGAATGGCATATCTTACTCTGGGTGATTTAGGTCTGGTTCAAGCTCCGTCAAATCTTGACCGACTGCAAGGGCATTGACATCGGGATTATCGCTATTTATCAGACTAAGAAGGCCTTGGAGCCCGAACCTAGCTTGGGGAGTCATCCGCATGAGTGCGGCCAACTCTGGAGATTGTTCTTGACCCTCAGTCCCAAAATTCCCAGTTTGTTGCTGGCAGTTTTGAGCTGGAGGCTGTATGATGCCCTGACCTTGTTGCTCAGAGTATGTTTCAGGTCGAATAGTCCGTTGCAGAGACTCGGACCCGGGATCCTAATTAATGGTTAGCACAGGAAGTTTGACAGTAAAGATGGTCCTTGCCTCTTTTTCCTGGGAAAGTGCGCCATTCTGAGTCTGACCCATCGAGGATCTAGATGTCGAAATAACTAGGAGTGTGTGTTAGTAGTCGCAGAGAAAACATGGTAACCCCAAAACGCCCTGGTAACTCACCACCTGACCCGCTTGCCCCTGGAGACACGATTCTGCTGTCTTGCTGTCCATTTACCATATTTCCGAGAAGAGTACGCCCCTGAGCCGAATGGTTTTGAGCGAGATTAGGAAACGTCATTCCGGCTCCGTAGCTGCTAAACGCTCCGGATTGAAGAAAGCTGGTGCGTCTTTCCTGGCCAATGTCCGCTGGCGCGTTTCTCCCTAATGGTGGGAACTCGTCAACATTTCCTGTTTGAGGTTGGTTTCCTCCTGAAAGCTGACCACTTATGCCTTGACCTCCATTCCTGAAATCATCCATTTGCGTTACAAATTGCGTTGCGGAGGGAAAGAGATCTTCGTGAGAAGCATGTGATTGCTGCTGCTGCTGCTGCTGCTGCTGTTGTTGTGTATGTGCCTGAGCTTGCGATTGCGCTTGGAGTTGCGAAACCCGGGACGGCGGTTGAGACGTTGAAGGTGTTTGCGTTTGCCTCTGGAGGGCACTTTGCTGAGTTGCTCGCTGGCTTGCGTTGGCCCACGTAGCTTGTCCAGAAACGGGAGGTTGAGGTTGATGAGGAACACTTGAGAGAGAGGGGAATTCGCTGGTAGAAAGTATATCGAAAGTTAGCCTATTTGGTTGCTGATAGGAACGCGGCCCTCTCCTGCCACGATGTGTACCTCCTCTGCGCCCCATATTTGCGTACAGAGCATTACTCTGTGTAGGGTTAAACCAAGGGAAGCATGCATGTATTATTGTGATCATAAGGACGAAGAGATAACAACAAAGAAAGGCTATAAACATCATAGAAAGGTGTTGGTATAGCAACTCACGAGAGGTCTAGGGGTGTTGCTGTTTGTGAAGCACCTATACTTTGTGCAAAGCTATTCATTGTATTCACTGTCCTTTGCTGGCTACTTTGTAGCCCAGGAGCACCTCCCATTGCCAGACCAAATCCCCAGTTAGCACCAGTTCCTGTGGCAAATTCCAAAAATTAGCATTTCAGTCTGAAGCTCAAGTTCGGATACCAAATAATAATCGCACCAATTTTACCATTTGGAAGTCGTGTTGAGGTTAATGAAGGATTGGGAGTTCGTGTCTGGGGTTGTTGCTGGGCGGGAAAGGTTGACATGCCTCGCAGAGGCTGCTGGCCAGGACCTGCATTGCGATTCAATACGTTAGTAACCTCTTTGTTATATCTAACCAAGAAAGGATGTTGCAATATTCCATATCGACGACATGAGATGTGTGGAGGCGGAGGAGCATTTGCCGCGTGGTCTTCAAATGTGGAGGCTTGGAGTAGTTGCTATCCTCCAGCTAGGGGTATATCAAGCTTCCACCCGAATAAGAAACCACAGTCTATTCTCTTGCGGAGGAGCGGTGGAAGCTAAAAAGGGAGAACCCAAGCACCAGGACCGAAGAAGTGGAGTGAGTTAGCGAACGCACGCACCTGGCCTATTCATGGTGGAAAGCTATTCTGGAGACGCCTAAGAAGGATTTATTGGGTAGAGGAGCTATTGTGAGAGAGAACTGGTAGTTTAAATGTGCATAAAGAGGATGGTGTGGGGAGATCTAGGGCATAAGATCAAAAGACATCTGCATCTGGTCAAATGCACCAAATCAGAGGTTGAGATCAGTCGAGCGCTAGACGCGCGGCTAATTGATGCAAGCACGGACCGTTCGGGGCCCGTTAGCTCTTCCCGTAATTTCACTCTCAACCCTTCCACGTCTTACTTGAATCTGTAACTTGAATCTGAACCCCACGCCGAATTCCATGACGTTTGCTTTAGTACTCAAAAAGCTGCACTTTAGATTCTACATAAATGCGATATCGGGAGCATTTCATCTCCTACAAAGCTGGTTGTTTTCCTTTCGCTTGTGGTCAATCGTATCGCTCGTATGCCTTGGATCCCGGACCGCCACGGCCGTATGCCTCGCTAATGGCTAAGCTCGCGTACGCCCGCGCACACGGATATTTCATTCTTTTCTCGCTGTTTTTCTCTTCTTCTCTTCAGAGTTATCATCATATAGATCAGCTAGTTATCATTACCAATACTACTATCTTATGCCTATTACTTTCTGACTATCGTCACAGGTCACGATCCAGTACACAGTTCCTAGGTTTAGATCGTGGCCCCGATCTGATACGGAATTTAATCTGTGTTAGAATAATAGCTTTATGTCCGATTTGCAATTGGCCCCTGTGCTATGGGATGAAAGCCTCTATATGCATGTACCTGGTATCTGGGTAGTTACTGACGGGAAGCTGTGTGAAAAGAGGCGGCACAGTATGACTGGGCAATTGTAGAGTCAGCCAACTTTGGATATGAAAACAAAACACAGAAAATAGAGTATGAATAAGAGATGCACAGTATGCATATGATTCCGAAGACAGCTTCAAACCTTCAATCATCGAATGATACCACTTTATTTCAAATCGAATCATGTTCCCGTCTTCACCTCCATACGAGTCCTCTAGAGTCCTCAGCTAATCGCCCTCGCACGTGATCTCGCTTGTCACCTCCATCGAATCGTCAATTTAGTTGCTCCCAGCTAGTTAACCTAGCACAATTTCGCCTACGATGAAAATTTTCAACCTCTACTGCTCCATCCAGCATCTTCCCAACTGCTCACTCTCACAATGCCCTCACGATCTGTCTCCCATCTTTTGAGACAATATGGAGGCTCTCCTCTGGTCGAATTGCCTCCTATTTTCCTCGCCCCTTCCCTTCAATTCTCCCTAAGCTATCCTTCCTTTCAATGTTTCAAATTCTCAACCACCCAGGCCAACAGCTTGAAGCGAGATCTCAACAAACAGCGTGGTGTCTCCGCTATTCACAGGACCGGCCCAAAACATAAGCTTTCAGTGTCAAAGTACCCTCTGCCACGTCCTGTTAGTCCTAAAGAGCAGGAACAAAGACCTATCAATCCCAACCATGGGCTCTGGGGTTTCTTCGGCCCAGACCGAAAAGCTATCCCAACACCAGAGGAAGAATATGCACATGGTATGCACTTGCCCTAGATATCAATGGATTTGAGTGGAAAAACTTTCCTCCTAATATACACTACAGGGCGTGCTTGGTCAATTCAAGAACTTCGGCAAAAATCATGGGACGACCTTCACTGCCTCTACTGGCTCTGTGTGAAAGAACGCAACAGAATAGCAACTGCTGATTATGAAAGGCAGCGGTTGCATGCTGGTTTTGGAGAATTTGAGTCTAAGAATCGTGACAAAACTGTACGTGGTATTCTCTTTATTGAGAGCGTCGCTTGTCGCTTATTATATTGCGATGCCCGGGACATTTCCTTTTTTTATTTTTATCTATCTTTATGACGAAACTTCTTTCACTCGCCGATATGACTTCTATTTGGGACCGCTTAAGCCCATAGAAATGATATATCTTTACGAATATTTTTTTTTCTGATCATGCACTCTGTCTTCTTTGATATTTTGCATGGAAAATTTCCACTTGGTCTCGTTTTCGTCTTTCATCTCTTTCAAAAGGTCCTCATGGGCTAACTCTGAAGTTCGTGGATAGGTCCGGAGTACGCAACGATCCATCAGACATGTTCTTCTTGAACGATGGTATGCCTGGGAAGATGCGCGGGAGCTTTACGAAACCGGCGCATATTCGCCTGCAGAAGAGGATGTTATGGAGCAAGAGGATCAAGAGCATGAGCCACCGGCGTTAAATGTCGATGAATCTCAAAATGAGAAACCCACTACATCTTCTTGAATTGGCTCTAATACTTGTACTATTAGCATATTGTAACTCTAAAAAAAAAACAGGCTATCTGTTCTAGGATATAGATTCTGCATTGGCCATCAATCTTACAGAATATCATAACGAACATCTGGACTCCGTACACTATTGCCACTAAATCAAGTGTTTATTCTCCAGCTGGGAAATCATTATATTTCCTTTTTGAACCTATAACTTACGGTACATATATGCGCAGTTGAATGAGAATGTCTCCTCCGAACGCAATGCATGAAAAAGTGACCTTCCAAACTAGCAGCAATAGAGAAGTAAGCTTTCAATTAATTATAGAATAAAGGGGGCTAAAAATCGCGTTTTAAGAAAGCTATGTAAAGTTTATAGAGGGATTGCTGAGACGTCAATGATTGACATTGCTCAGGTCAGAAATGAAAAAGTGTATTGATCACATTGATCGCTGAGTGGTTGAGAGCGTTAAAGCGTTGCCCGCCACAGCAACCCAGAGCTCTTTGTTTCGGCCACAATCTCTCAACACTTGAAGCCGTCACATCTTTACTATCATTGCACATACAACAGCCTATTTCATTGCCGTTGTTCGGAGTTTTTCTCGTCTTTCTTAAGTGAAAACCCTATTCATCTCCAACATGGAAGATATCTCGCCAGAATACGATGTTGTGGTGATGGGCACCGGTATGAACTTACCCCACAGCTAGTTGAAGGATTGCCTTTGGGCTGCCACTGACCGACTTTCTACCCCCTAGGTTTGACGGAATGTGTTCTTTCAGGGTAACTACATGGCCTCTTGGACCACGTTGAAATAATATATATTAAAAGGTAGAGCTCCGAACTAATCCCCTCTTACAGTGTACTCAGTGTGAAGGGACAGAAGGTCCTCCACATTGACCGTAACGACCACTACGGCGGGTGAGTTAGCCTATACCCAAACTCGCGTGGAACCCTGTGCCATTAATGCTAACTGTGTAATAGAGAGTCCGCTTCCGTCAATATAGAAACAGTTTGTTTCCCTAGGTACCGTGTTGTTTGTCGGCCCTTAACGCTGACGATGATCACCAGCTTTTCAAAAAATTCCGTGATGTGAAACTGGGCGAAGAACCTTGGAAAAAATATGGCCGAGTCAACGACTGGAACGTTGACCTGGTTCCCAAGCTGCTCATGTCAAATGGAGAACTGACCAACATCCTCGTTTCCACGGATGTTACCCGATATCTCGAGTTTCGACAGATTGCAGGCAGCTACGTTCAACAGGGTTGCGGATCCAAAGCCACGGTCGCTAAGGTCCCGTCCGATGCGGGTGAGGCTCTTCGATCCTCGTTGATGGGCCTGTTCGAAAAGCGACGGGCGAAGAAATTCCTCGAGTGGGTTGGAGAGTTTGACGAGAACAACCCGGCCACCCATCAAGGTTCGATAGCATGCCGCATAAGTCGGTTTGATTGAGGTTCAAGACGTTGCGTAGGTGCTAATGTGGTTCTCAGGCTTGAACATGGCAACATGCACTATGAAAGACGTCTACGATAAATTTGGGCTGGAACCTACCACCAAGGATTTTATTGGGCATTCCATGGCCCTTTATCAATCTGACGACTATATCACGGAGGCTGGCAAGGCGAAGGAGACAATTGATAGAATCCGCCTTTATGTCAACTCTATGGCTCGCTATGGCAAATCCCCTTACATCTATCCACTCTTTGGACTTGGTGAACTTCCCCAAGGCTTCGCCCGTCTATCTGCCATCTATGGTGGAACATATATGCTCAACACCAACGTTGACGAGATTCTATACGACGGTGAGAAGGTTTTCGGTATCAAAGCCACAATGAAAGACAGGAGTGAGCCTGGAGATGGCATGACCTTCATTACAAAAACTAAGAAGATTATCGGTGATCCCACCTACTTCCCTGGGAAAGTCCGGGTTACCGGCTACCTTCTCAAGGCCATTTGCATTTTGACACACCCAATCGATAAAACGGATTCGAACGATTCTCTACAGCTAATCATTCCTCAATCCCAAGTTGGGCGAAAGCACGGTTGGTGCCTCAAGCATATCGCCCCCTTCCACCATAAAGAAATCTTCCGTTTCTAAACATTTGAACAGATATTTACATTGCGATGGTGTCTTCTGCCCACAATGTCTGCCCGAAGGGCTACTATGTCGCCATCGTCTCCACCATTGCCGAAAACGAAGTAAACCACCACATCGAGCTGGGGCCTGGCTTCGAACGCCTTGGTAAAATCGAAGAAACATTCATGGGTCCTCCCATCCCGCTGTACGAGCCTATTGAGGATGGCAGCAAGGATCATATCTACATTTCAAAGAGCTACGATGCCACCAGCCATTTCGAGACTACCACTGGTAAAAATCATTCTTCTTCTTAATTTCCCCACACACACCTTAAAAGTTATGGGAGGCGCGCTAACCAGTTGGTGAAATAAAAACAGATGATGTCAAGGATATTTACAGGAGAGCGGAGGGACATGAATTGGTGGTCGAGGGCTTGAGAGAC